TTAGAGAATCTTGCCAACAAGAGCTTCATAAGCAGATTACAATAATGTTATTACCTTGAGCTATTAGAAGTCACAAGACTTTCAGTTCCCTCTCCAACCTCTTCCCTAAGAAAATGTGAGGTGTTTGCTTTCAAATTGCGTTACTTGATACTGATTTTTTTCCTGCTTAAAGCTTACTTGAAAAAATGTTTTTTTCCTAATCCATATAAAAATTTACTGTTTATGTAGCAATTCCTTCCACCTTATAATTCCATATTATCTATAATAAAAGCAGACTCCCTCTAGCCCCAAACTCCCACACTTCTTTCAAGCCCTTAATCTGCAGTTCAATTAAAGATTTCACTTTTAATTCACAGATTAGTGTCACAGGCAAAATACAAGTTTTGTTTCTTGAAGGACATCTACAGGAATTATTGCTCTCTCCTTGCTGACTGCGTGCCCATGAAATATAGATGGGTTCAGAGAACTTTTAACATAGATAATGAAGAAGATCCAGTCCCACAATGTGACAGGAAATACCTCGATAAAGAACACAGACACGGGTAGGGACTGCCCAGATACCAGCTAAAAGCAGCACAGCAAGACACAGCTGCTATTTGCCAAAGTTTCTATTTGACTGCAGTTCTAATAATTCACGACACAGCATGAGGATCAGGGTATACTGAAGTGGAGATTATTCAACACTGGGAACAGCCAGGGGACAGAGTGTTGAGATACAGTGAACAAGACACGCCTCATGCTTCTGAAGTGCTCAGTTCAGAGTGCTCGGTTAAGTCAGTCTCCAAGAAATTATGTACTTTTCTGTGTGTGCACCAAAAGACTGCAGAGAAAGTCTGCAGCTTTAACTATCCACACCTTTCCTATTTCAGGCTCTAAAATGCCGAGTTGCTAGACAGCACGTGTGTGGATGGTGTTATTTGACCTACAGATCCTGCATGGGTATACACACCAGAGCGATGCCAAGAAAAGCAGCAGGAGCTTGTAGGGGTGACACCCTAATCAGATGGAAGCAGCAGAATCCTGGCTCCACATCACTAGCTCTATCTTGCAGCAAAGGCATGGCTGTTAAACCAGCTGATGGTCTGCAAAGTCCAGTGACTTAAATGGGAAGCAACAGGGCTGGGGGAAAATACAAAATAAAAAGAGAGAATGAAAGAAGCATGGAGCAAAAATCTTTGTTTGAGAGGTAATTCAATTAAGATATAAAGAGACAGATGGATGACCTAACATTGATCCCTAACATTCATGATGAATCCATCCAGTGAACAGCATTCTGAAAATAAACCTTTCTCACTATGTTTCCCAGCCTGCGAGAAGGGGATCTGGGTTGATCCTAACCACCAGAACGCAAATTAAGCTGCTCTTTCAAAGTGCTGCTTCAAGAAGCTGCTTCTGAGAAGCCTGAGTCCCTTCTACTTACAGTGAAGATCTGAAACTCATGATTAAGAAAAGCTGATAGCCAAGTCCAAGACTTTAAAGGCATGACAATAAAGTTGGAGCACATGTGGACTACAGTAGTGATGGCTGGAGCGATAAGAAATACAGGTGCCGGCAAAAGTTTTGTGGCTTCACTCCCATTAGGATCAAAACTGAAACAGAAAAGCTGAACGAAATGGGAATGTTCTGCCGATGGAAACTCAACTAGGGCAACAGCGATACCATCAGTCTGCCTACAAAGAAAGATGCTCCTTAGGAATTACGAGTGTTTTCAGTTAATAGCTTATCCATGAAGCCCAGAACTTAAAAAGATCTTCAAGGACACAGTACATAACGGAAAACTGGACATCAATCACATGAAAAATACTTCTGTTTCACTTGAAAGAATCACTCCCCTTTTGAATTCTACCTACTGCATTTTGCTGAAAGACCTCTTTGGATAAGAGTTTTTTTAGATCTGTATTAATATCCTGTCCAGAAGCAAGTAAACATAAGATGCAACCACCTTCCTCTTAATGCCATGACTGCTACCCATTTTTCTTGCATCCTTCTAGACAAAAAAACCAGAATATATTTTTAAAAAAAATTAATGTACATATTTATGTTGGAAAATGCTGCATAGATGACATGATTTACTACGCACTTAGAGTGGGTGGATTTTTTCATCAACGTTCTTAACTTGTGTTTATATAAGGCCTCCCACAGACATTTGGACTCACTGGATTTTGAGGAAAGGAAATAGCACTAAATGAAGAATATAAACAACACTGTCTCTCTTTATGGACCTTTAGATTTGTTGGACTGTATCAGACTATTTCCTGTGTGCTAGTGTTTATGTCAAGTACCTTTCTGAAGCTGCAGTCTTCCCATGAATACTGGAGTAGCCTAAAAATAACCTGAAAGATATTTAATACAGACATTATCAGATTTTTTTCTTTTACTGCTGGAACATGAAGCATATGCTTTTGACTGTGCTGATATTTCATGTTTTCTAAAGCAAATCTGTTCGCTGCATCAGTTACTCACTGCAGTTACAAGTACAGATTGTCCACAAAGCTAGGGTGACTCAGTAATGAAGGTCTACTCTGCCTCCTTGAATCTGGTGTGATTTCAAATATCACCACAACCAAGAATTGACTCCGTCAACCCTTTGTTTGTTCAGATTAATTCTGCTGCTACTCATGGTCTTCTGCTAGGCTGGAACTAACAGGTCTGCTATGGTGGCTTTAACTAAAAACAACAGGTTTTTGGATACTACCAAAATCTCAGTTAAAGTGCAGCAATATGATAGGTTAGCTAAAATGATGACACATGGGTGGAGGGAAAAAAATTAACGTAAAAAAGACTTCAGTGCCTTCAGGGTCCTCCAAGGTATGAAGAAGCATCTGGAAAACAAACCCCCTTGCATTTACTTAATGGTGCAGGTGATTTAGTAAATGAATTTGGGTTAAATTTCCTTCATCTTTTTCTGTTCTAGAAACTGAAAAAGCCTGATAAAAACCTCAAAATTCTCATACCAAAGATAAATACCTACTTATATGATTCAGTCATAGATCATTAGGTAGTCAAATGAACTGTATACTTTACTGCCCTACACAGTTACCTGTAAAGGTTTTGTGCTAAGCTTGGATTCACAATGCCATCAGTTCATTATTTTACTGCAGTGGAAAAAACAAGGTTAAGACAAAAATGGTACCATAATGATTTAGCTGAAGGTTTAAATTCATACAAGGTATTTAAAGGATATTATAATAGAAAAACACATAGATATTTACTCCTGCTCTACCAGACAGACTTTCTCAATTCAACTCAAAAATTCAAGTCATTGCAGATGAACACATATTTATATTTATCTACAGAACTACGAACTACAATGGATTATTTTCATACATTAGGAAACTGAAAAAACCTGAAACACAGAGAGCAAATAATCTCTTCCTTGCTTGTTTCCTTTAAGTATCTTAGAGATTCTTCGCAAGTGAAAAACTTTCTTCCTCTTTTTACCTTGGAAAGAAGGCCTTTTCCCCTGTGTTTGCCATGGCAGATTACACAGATGATGAGGGTAACTGGGTCCTGCAGGGTTACAGGAGAGCTTTCCTTAAAAGTTTTCACAAACATTTCAATTCAAAACCTGTTAGCAAAGAAATAAAATTGCTCTTTCACTTTCAGTTGTTTTTACCATTATTGAAAAAGGCAAGCGAGAAGTCTAATCTGTTCAAAACTCTGTTTAAATATACACAGGGCTAAGTAGGCAAATTCTCGAATTTCAAATCAAAGTGCCACAGGAGCAAATACACAATCTTTTAAAATGCATCTTCACCATTCCCGTAATATGCGTATCCTTTTCATTGAAAGGAAATATTTCATACATCAGTAGTTTCAGACCTAAAAAAAGGCTCCTGAGTAGTACTGCACTTGTAAGAGTCCAATATTCATTTAAAAAAGAAAAAAAAAAGGATAGTTTGACAAGGTATGAACTCCAAAACTTCAACACGGAAAACAAAAGAGGAAAATATCTCTAAAAAGATTTTGAAGCAAAGGCCATGCTATTCACTGTGTACTGTGATCCGCTATCTCAAGAGTGAGCAACTCTCAAGGCGTACTAAGATTGAACTCTTCCTCTTCTTGCATACAAGATGCCTACACTTATGGCCACTACATTTCTAGGTGGGCTGAACTTACTTCTTCCCTCCATGTTCTTTTATTAGTAGATATTTAAATAAACACCACTTGAAAGCCTGTAATGAGAGTTGAGTGCCGCTCCAATAAAAACATACAAACAAATATTCACTTATTTTACTGTTCTAACACAAAAAGTTCTCTATAAAGAGTAGGAATCAAAATAGTGTCAGGTAACAAGACTACCTAAGGACATGTTAAATTTCTTTTTCCACAAAATAATTAAGTTTCTTCATTAAAACCAGACAGTATTTCAGTTCTACAAAACAAGTCCTATAGGTCTTTTCTTTCACTTCCAATTAATTAGGACAGATAAAAGACTTCGAAGATATTTTGTTGCAACAATAGCAACTCCTTTCAAGCAAGGAATTAATGTTTAAATTTTTATTTCTGGTCACTTACATGCCAATTAAAAAAAAGGATTAATTCTTAAGCTTCACAAATTCCACTTTTTAAAACCTCTATTTCCTCTACTTAAATCAATTTCTATAAATTTTTCTCAGAGAGTATATTTCTATTGAAAATAGTTTTAATAATTTTTTAATCTATTTTTTTCTAAGAATAAAAGGAAGGTGCCATTATTGTTTTGCTTCAGAAGCCAGTTCCTACTATGAGAAAAGACTTGGCATGGCCACACACACAAAAAGTGTTCAGGTGCAGTATCACACAGATCAGTAAGGAATATACAAAAACAACATAGTGTATAATACTGTGACAGTTTTCCAATATATTCACATACAGTAACCTCTGACTACCTGTAACTAAACTGGCCATAAACCCTGAAGAACCTTGTCTATAAAACTGAGTAACCCAGCGATATACCCTATCTTAAAATACCCGTATTTTACACTAATATACAAGGTATCTGCTTACAAACACAGAAGTAGCCATAAATAAAACTTTATTCTTTCATTTCATTTACAAGCTACCAAGTACCATGTATTTACACAGCACTGGACACTTAAAGTAGTTGCAGTCACAAAATGATCCAGACAGCTGTTGATAAAGTAAAGGATCTTAAGATAAAAGCAAAGTAATACTGTGACAGGTAAGTGGCAAAAAAGCGGTTTTGCCATAATGATCAGACTTGCATGTTGCATCAATTCTGGAGGAAACGACTGAGCGCCATGCGATTCTCAGCTTTAATTGTTTGCAGTCTGGCTAAAGTTTGTACAGTCATTTCTCTTCTGCAGTTATTAAAATAAAAAAGTTAAAAACTATAGCAGCAACAAGCAAACCCTGTGACAGGAAGGCAAGGTTTAAGAACTAAAAAAGTTTATACAATGTGCTTCGGAAGGTTGCAGAATTTATCTTCCATCGGCTGGAGTTCGACTGAGTGACAACATGATTCGGGTGTATCTTTCACACAGTTCGTGTGTGGAGTAGGAGGGTAACTTTGGCGGGTCATTGAAACCTTTAATCTCTGTAGAACAATCTAGCAGTTTTGGCAGGAAGTCTGTCAGCTTTTCTTGCAAGTTAGCTGCAAATAAAACAAGAAAAAAACATAAGCATTTACGTCTGCATGTTGAATTCTCCTTTTCCTGCCCAACACTGACTTTTTTTTTTAATTGGTGGGTGAGAAGAGGAGGAGTTTCACTTGGAATAATCCACTTTTCTTCAGGTCTGCCAGCAAAATCTAGGACATATTAGTTCCTAGTAAGATGTTAATATAAATGCCCCTTCAGATGGTCTAACAACAAAAATGGTTTTCCATTCAAAAAGCATGTTTCCTTTAAGGTCTAATACCCCGAGTGCAATACATGGAAAAACTGTTTATTTAAACGTGTATGGTATTATTCAAAAGCCAGGGTAGCTCAAAATATGTTACCAAGGCACAGAAGATAAAGGCTCAATTCAAGACACTGAAAACATTGCACTTATAAAAAAGTTGAGCGAGCGCCTTTTACCTTAATGAGTAAATGACTTACGTTCCATTTCTTGTCCAAGATAGGAACACCAACGGTTTCTCATATCTTCCACGGCAACAATATCTTTTTCTTCCATTTCATCCACCAGTAGCAATGGCAAACATGGGACAATAAGCTCATTCATGATGATCAGGCCATTATTTACTTCCTGATCATCTCCCGATTCAAATAGTGCTGCAGCGTGTTCATTTAGTTTCTTCATAAACCACCACAAAAAAGGAAAGCATTTAAGTATACAGCATTTCACATTCTACCACATATCAGTTTCTGCTTGTTTTAAAGCACAGTCTCCCTGCTAAGCTACCTGGTAATTTGTATGAACCACAGTTACGCTTCAATGTTTACAGCAATGGTGCATATACTCTGAAGCCACTTGATCCTGTGCTGTTCCTCAAGCCACTTCCTTTGAAACCTGCCAACTCAACCTTTGCAGCTGTTCTTTCTAAGACTGAAGTCCTATCACCTGCTTTTGTTTTCTCACTATTGCTACAAGTGACATAATCCTGCTGCCTTTTCCAGTATTTGCCTCCCCATCAAACTGCAGCAACAGGGTGAGCCTGCTCGCAGCCACTGTCACCTGTTGTTCCCACCTAGCACAGGCACAACGGCAGTGAGCACACTACTTACAACCATAAAGATGCTGACTGATTACGCAAAATAAATGGGACTAACGTTATCCTCCTTACTTTCACTTTTTTTTCCCCTACAGAAGTCTAAGTACTAACTTGTTAATGAAAGGCGTTTTGTTGATTTCGGTTTTGTTTTACATCCTGGCAGCACTTTTCTACTAATTAATTTTGTTACAGCTACGCAGCAAGTTCAACTTTTTGAAGCATACTTCACCCTTCACTTACTAGCAAACATTCTCTTCTGTAGTGAGATATCAGCTCTTCATCATGCCCTCTGTACGGGCCTTTGGACAAGAGTTCTTTGTTATTCTGGTAAGCATAGATAAGGTAGAGCAAGGCTTCCATATAGCTGAAGTAAAGTAAAGAAACAAGAACATTAGATGCAACATCCAGGTACCACCTGCTTCAAGCTAAACGCTGTGCTCTTCGAAGCACAGGTAACTTCACTTGCTTGTTTGACTCTACGTCCACCCCTCCCCACCAATCTCTTAATAATGTTGTTTTTTCTATCACTCAATTTCATCTTTTATGCACATTAGAACAATTTATTTTTTGCACAGTACAATTCTTTACGGAAATGAGAGACCGCCTGGATAAAGGCCAATTTTTGACTCCATCTAGAGATTGAGTACTGCTAGGTATCAAATAGTGTTATTAAAACTACGAAAAAGTTGGTTGACCAAGGGAGATGGGTTTCTGAAAAAAGCCTCAAACAGTCCTGCTAATGAAGGCCGTATTTCAATTATGAAAGTCTCCATTTTCATACCTTTAAGGCTTCATTTTTGTGTTTTGAGTGTTAATAAGGGAATTGGAACCAAGTTCATTGATTTAGTCTCATTTTCAGAATAAAGATGGCAGTACAGCCCTCTAGAGTGTACAAGATGTGAGCCCTCAGTAAATATCTCACTCCTTTGCAAAGCTGTAGCTGAAAAATGGGTGTGAAATTGCAACGGATGCCTTTAGAGCAGGTCAATGGATACTCAGATTCTCACCTATCCTCTAAGTATGCTTAACTCCAGTCATACTGTCTTTGTATTAGATACCTCTTGAAGCGTTCTTGAAATTGCCTTTCTTGCCAAAGGGAGTGAATGCTACACATTTTTGGATGTTAGATGAGTCTGATAATACCGTAATTTTATTTTGACCAATGTCAATGTCTAAGACTGGTCATTATAGGCTTGTCTTCTAAATTACAAAGATGTTTGGTAACAAATGACTCACCCTAATTCTGCAAATTAATCTAAATAATGGAAAACTATACTAAAGGTATGAACGCTATTCAGCACACAGCAGAAACCCGTGCTTCCCTCTCTCTCCCTGGCATAACCAGAATATATTATGGTAAGGAGCAGATTAGTGAAAACACTGCTATTCTACAGTTGAAGGTGCCATCCTGGAGTCTCAGTGCCAAGGAACTTGAAGGTCTTCTGCTCCTGCCTAGAGCATGCATGGAGTCTGGGGGTAACAAGGAGGGTTCCTATACACCACACTGATGCCCGTGACATTTTTGCCTCCTTAAGGGATCAAGCAATACCAGAGCGTTTTTTTTCAAGAAGCCAAGCAATCTTCTGACCATCCTTTATACATAAGCTGCATATTGCAATTTAGATTATTAATGAATGAACTATTTATTACATGCTAGCAACCAGAAGACAAACCAACACTATGGTCTCACTGTGTTAGCCACTATACAAAGACAGAGCCTGTCACAAAGGCAAGGCAGTGTCTTTTCCAACCAATTTTCCTGTTTTGTTTGGGACTTTTCTTTTTGGGGACTACACAAGACAAGAGAAATATGAAGCAATTTACTGCACTACAGACAAAAAAAATTAGATTTGATTCCCACTATAATTTCCCTACCTACTGTGCTATACATGAAAAATCAGAGACTGACTACAGCATTGTTTTCACAGTTAAAAATTTGTATCATAAAAAATTGTATCATATGACTGCTCAATTTTCTCACCACAGATGTCACTGGATATTATGCAGGTAATCATGTCAATCCTTTGCCCAGACATAGGAGACAGAGATACTTTTGAACAATTCTGTTTCAAAGACTATTCTGCATAACACTTTGAGGCATTTATACTGCAATCACCATCCTTGTTGCATGTAGTAGATCAGAGAATAAATTTTAGCAGTAGTGCACTACGTACAGAAATGTCACCAATTTTATTTAGCTGCAATTCCTGACATGGTTCAAAAGAGAAGTGAATGAATCACCATTGCTTCATGGAGCTAGGAAGAATCAGCTACAAATGTGTCAGTTACACGTGATAGTTTTCCTCAAATATGTTGTTTTTTTGCTGACCTTTAAAGCCCATCACAGGTCAAATTTTGACAAATGCAGAAGGCAAACTCTGTTTATATGGGAAGACCCAATGAGAAGACAGATAAGACAGGGCCTTGATTAATTATGATTCCTGACGAAAGCAGATTAAATGCACGTGCACATTTGGTGTCAAAGATTTTTATCTCTGAGGGATACCCAGGGCACTTAAGAGTAGGAGAGGAAGAGTAATACGGGTGCACATACAGATTGCTCTGAAAAGAGTCCATGGCTTGATAAGAGATTGGAAATGGAGATTAAGAACAGGAAGTTGTAGGAAACTCAAGGTAGATGCAAGACTGAAGACATTAATAGACCAAATAAATGTTTAACTTAAATGAAGAACACATTAAACAATTCTTAATTTTAAAAAAATAGCTGTAGTTATCAGTATTACATTTTGCCTTCAAATGACTCTATTACATTTGAGTTCTATACTACCACTTACCTCTTTTTTTGGAAAAACTCCAATCCTACCATGAGAAACATGGTTGTTTCCCTGAAATGTCTGTAGTCTTGATGCCATCTCTGCATATAAGAAAAGTTATAGAGAATTTCATCCACAAACATTAAATACATTTCTTTAAAGTCTTATATATATGTATATATGTATGTATGTTTCTTTAATTAATTAACTTATTTATCTTACACACTTAGTGCTGAATATTCACAGTAAGTGCTAAGGACTCCTTGTAAGCTCACATGTGGAAAAGGTCTGCCTGCATCCCCCCACCCTCAATAAAAAGAAAATTCTAAAATACCTAATATATTTCTAAATGAGATTATTTTTACAGAATGCATTACCATTTGAAAGGAACACAAAGCATCTTTGGAAAACCACAGTCAGAATTATGCAAGATCCCCTTTTTCTTCCCAAAAAGAGTTGCGAAGCTAATACCCTTTATTTCTTCCCTATGTTACATTCAAGTTATTTACTCAGAAAGTGTCAGAAAACTTTTTCATGCCCTGTGGAGACATTTATACTGAAGCAAAACATTTCTCTTACTGTATCACCATTTACACAAAAGGACTACTGGTACACTGTACAGGTAAATGCTCTAAGTTTTGGCACCTAAAAAAAGGGCGCTTTTACTGCAGTTGGTTGTAGCCAACTTTCAATTGCTTATTAAAGTAGGGGACAGCATGCCATGTTACACAGCCACTTACAGATTCAACACAAAGAGCATGAGAAAGGGTCCACGAAATGCCAACTCACTATACAGGACAAATACTGACACAATCTTTGGAGAAATCACCAACTATCTGCTGCAGGAGCTAAAAAAGTGGCACATATATGCAGGGGAATAGAAGACACCTCCACTCTCTCACTCTTAAAGATAAGTCCAGAATTGTTTATTCTACCTGTGCAATGCCACTCAGAAAATGCTAAGATATTGAGCCTTGCACAGCCTAAAATATGCAACAGAAATCCCACTATGAAAGTCCTTTCCACTTGCAGGCCAGGGAGGGACACAGTGTCATGTAGTAGGCAGCTAATGTAGGTCCTAAATGTGGTAATGAGAAATGACAGTCAAGTATTTTTCACTTGGTTTGCTGAGAGGAAGATTGCTCCCATAGTCTCTCTGAACAAGGTGTTTGGACCTACGAGCATAACAATGAGGTTTAAATGGCATCTTTTAAACTGGCATCTGCTTAGGACGTAAATAACCCCCATTAAGAGGCCTTATATGAACAGTATTATGCAGAGTTGAAACTAATGTTTTAAAACTACCTACAGACTTAGCTTTAAATACAAGATTAATTATTTTGGCAAATACCAGTCACAATTATTTAATGTTTGAGATTTGCTCTTCTCTCCAGTTTTTTCTAAATAGCGCAGGACAAAAAATTAAATGCATAAACTGGTTATGTATGGTCTCAGCAAACGAGAGAATCTGGTGCCCATAGAAAATCAGAATGGCTGCAGAGACAGCTGGAAGAAAAGCACAAACGTGGCTGTGACCCAGCTCAAGATGTGTAAGGCTTCAACCACTCTCACTCCTTCACTGCTACCTGCTTCGGATTAGAGAAAGCCAGTTGGCTTACGTGGTGATAAATTACGAAACACTGTTAGTGACGTTGAGACACGTTAAGGAGTAAAAACAGACTCAAACTTCACATTTATTTACGGCTCAAGTAAAATTTGACCTTGGAATTACAGATGTAGAAAAAACCAGCTTTAGACCATCTGGTCAGTGCAGCATTCCTACAAATGGTCTTTCAATAACCAGTTTTCACTTCTTAGTGTACGACAAGAGGAAATCTATGAAGAGAAAATTCAACTTGCTGATTAACTATTTCATGTTACAGTTTAAAACATAAAAAATACTGACCTCATATTCCTCCATGTTTACTTCATCTGGTTTTATCATTTCAAGTTTAGCTTGAGCAACCTTCATTATGTTACGGCACCTTACAAAAGGCAACAAGAAATCATGAGCGATTACTGGAAATTCACAAAGGATATTATCCATACAAAGACAGCAGCCTCAAATAGTATAAGCTACAGCATTATGTAAAACAGTAAGAAAACACTGTGGAAAAATGTGCTTTTCATTATGCACGGTGTAATTAGCAGGAGAGGGCATACTTTGGAAGTACACGTGACGGAGGTCTGCGCTACTGAACAATTACTTGTTTTACTTTGCTAAATTGCCACATTGCTCATTCTCTCTTTTTAATTTAAAGTTTAGATGGCTTGAAGTTCCCCAATATTTACTTTACAAAAGTAACGTAGGATTATTCACTAAGCAGAAATCAGATTAATGTTTTCTACTTTTCAATTTATTTATTTCTTTAAATAAGTAAATATATGGAATTTTGAGTGGAAAAGAGACATTATCTTGCATTCAAGTAAGCTACCTATCTAGCTTGCAAGGCTTTGCTGTCTGCTGCTGGCATTCAGGGCAGTGAAGAACGCAAACTACGCAGCCTTACACAGCGCTTTGAAAGAAGGTACAGAAATCTATGTGCAAAATGATGAGCAACACCGAGTATTTCTCCTTATTTTATAACAACAGAAATCCAACTTCTTGTCTACTCCTTTGACAGAAACTTTTATGAAGTTGATAGTTTTTACAAAATATACTTGCAAGCTATTTACTAGAAGATTGAATCAAGCACACACACACAGATCTTCCCTCTATGACGTGCGCTATCTGAACACGAAGGCGCGTCTCCACCCACCAGAAAGTGCACGCACAGGAAATGAAACATGCAGATCTTATTACCTCTCGTCAAAGCTAAGATTGTGATCTCCAAACTGCTCCAATAATGTCCTCTCAATTATCTTCTTTGGTGCCTGGTTTTGGATGAAGTAAACAATTGCGTGACGCAAACGATAATCACATTCAGGTGGTGGATCTTCCTGGGCTAATTTTAGCAGACGCGTGTATTCCAATTTAATTGCCTAAATAATTTAAAAAATATATGTTATTCTTTCAGGCTTTTAACTCTTAAACATCACAGACGCTGACAGGATAATTCATGTCCTGTGGCCTTTTGCCGATAAAATAAGTTTTTAACAATTCCATACTCCATCCTTCTAACAAGTCTGAACTACAACAAAAAAAAAAAAAAAACAAAACCCAAAAAAATCCCAAACAAAACAAAACAACAGGCAAATGGTAAAGTTGTTCCTGTCTCCCTCCAACTAAGCCTGCCAAAATCCCAGGTAGACTCATACTTCAAAAGCAGTCCCAGTCCTGTGCTACATCGCCCTGAGAGAGGGTTTATCCAATTCCTAGAGAGGCCTCTTTAAGCATTTACATTCCAAAAGCAGTGTAAGATTTCAGCCACTTTACTTAAAAGAAACTTCCAAAAATCTCGCCAGGTAAAGAAGGTACATCTAATACATAGTTAAAATGCAAATACATGGATAAAACAAATTCTACAGAAAGTTGCATGAACAGTTATGGTTTTGGAAACACTAAGTGAGAATGGAAAATGTCATTTAAGAAAATTCAAATTGGAAGATTACTAAAAAAAAAAAATACTTCAATATAAATAGTATTAGTCTCCTACAGGACAGGACAGAGTCCTCAATGAATATTTTAGATTGACTTTAGAAGTCATCAGAAGCATACACTTCTCCAGCTTTGCCAGCACATTAGGTTTTAATGAACATCATCTGTTATGTTCATTAGACTGTATTCACTGAAACTATACAGCGTGAACAAGAGCAATAACAAGAAAAATAACTAGAAAAATTGTGATAAATGTTAATATGTTCCTTCATTTATCTCTTAAAATTGGGAGGTGATCAGATTGTATGCTAACGCTAAATGCCATCTCAAAACAAATGACTTAACATAGTAGTTTCACACATCAGCAAAGTTTCAATACAATAAATGCCCAAATTCAAGTTCCAAAGCAGGCAGAAAAACACCCTGTTCAATATTGAAATACCTGTCAGTAGCAGGTAACTTCTTGATGCTTAGCTATCAGAAATTTGGGCTCCCATCCTCTACTAATACACATTTGGTTTCAGGACTGAACACATGGGTAGGATACGCTTCATACAGGCTTAAACACAGAGCGCGTAGAGAACTTTACAACTTAAGAGAACGGTCTGCATCAATATTTTTCAATATTAATCATATGCATTATCATTAAATAGGAAGTTTGTGAGAACCGGTTATAAATACCAAAAGCCATAGGCAGAGTTTCCATTATCTTACATCAGAAAAAGGTCTACCATTGGAAAACCAACATGGAAAACTAGGCAGTTAAAGCCTGTTTACTACAGTAGGCCAGAACCAAAAAGCAATTGCTATTAGACATTTAAATTTTCAGAGCACTCCTTACAAGCGGGAAAAAATGCAACGCAAAACCTATATTCTTATATACATATTGAAATAAAATAAAATTGTATACTACAGATTCAGAAATCCTAAGTACAAAGAAAAATAATACTATTTCTTTGCACAGCATACAGGAAAAAGGGACAGGAGAAAAGAAAAGTATTACAATTCTTTCATTTTCTCACTGAGAATAGTATATGAAGATCCTAAGGCAAACGCTCTGCAAGGAAGTGTCTAGAAAATCTAAAGAAGGGTGTGACTGGAGGAGATGACTGATCAAGAAATATCTTAATGGGTTTGTATCAGTCACGGCTCAGGTCTGAGATGTAAAGCACGAGCAAAACCTTGGCAGTTACAATGGCCCATGTCAAATGGGTTTCACCTGGGTTACACTAAAGCAAAAACACCACAGAACAAAGCTCCAATGTTCTGCAAACACTCCTTTTATAACAGCAAACACATGAAGAAACCCAGAGTACAACAGGATTAAAAAATATCACAGAAGCTTTAACAGTAAGTTCATGAAGTAACATGAGATTTTATCTGGTATGTTTCAAAACACGAATTTTGTTACCAAAAAACACCACTTCATCTGCATAATTCACATTAATGTACTCCTCAAAAATGAGGCATGTTTTGATAACTCTGAAGCACTAAATATAATTTTATTTTTAACAGCCTTTCTGTTTTGGAATTATAAAAACACCCTTCATATTCAAAAAACAATTTTGTGTAATTGAACTGTCACTAAAGAGTCTGACTTGATCAAACGAGGATCTTTTTTTTTTCCAACCTAAGAAAAAAAAGACTGCCATCTTTTCATTAAGTAATCAATTCGATAAAAACAAAACAAAAGTAGACAAAAACCTGCACTGAATCCCAACCAAAACCTGCTTCACCAAACAGAGGCCATGGCAGGTGCCTCTCCATTCCCTGAGCAGGCACAGTTAAGAGAGACAGCCCTGCAAACAAATGTTAGGTCATAACACTCCCCTAAGAACCCATTACACAAACAAACCCCTGAGATTCCAATTTCCTTGTCAAGGAGTTGGAGAATTTTTTGGTGGGGGTGGGGTGGGGGTAGGGGAAGGGTGTGTGGTGTTGGTGGGTTGGGATTTTTTTGTTTCCTTTGGTTTTTACAGTTTCTTCTAGTGCAACTACACCATAACAATCAAGGAGAAAACAGACTGCTACTCCACAACAAGCAGAAAACTTCCTCCCTACCTCCAAATCACATTTGAGAGATTTTACATCATGTCAAAGTAATTCCCTTTCTATTATCCTGAAAATTCAAAAGTTCATGAGCTAAAAAAGCTCAGAAGTTTGTGTGCTTAAGAAGACTAAGGCATTTTTATATCTGGTATCATTATGAAGAGTATTAACTACAAAAAGCCTAGTATTTAATTCCTGGTAATAAAACACTGCATAAATAAACAGCATTGACATCCATGTAGTTACACAAAGAGTAATTTAGATTTAATAAAAATCTTTAAGGAGTACAAAACAAAAACAGCTCTTTGAAATAAACAACAAATGACTGAACGCTGATGTCCCTGGGCGATAAAACTCATGTCCCAGGCAGTCTAGTGAAGGCATGTTCTTTGTTACTAATAGGGGAAAACACCCTAAACATATTCTTATCGATTACACATACAGGTTTCATGTTACTTGCTACTATTACTAGAAAGCTAAAATATAGACAGGTATATATGCCACTGATATCAAGGCAGTGTTCTGCTGAATCAATGGGGAAATGGCTGCCTATTTTTCAAGGGAGAAATACCTCAATGGAGGACTAATGTGTCAGAAGAGTACGTACAAACACTGCAACAGTTTTAAAATGCATCAAAGTGGAGAGGGAGAAGGCATATCTAACAGGAAATACCAGAGGAGAAAAAGTTGAAAATGTTAGGTGTACCTTAAAGAACCCTGCTTCTGGCCCACACCTGTCATAAACATTCCTGGCTTTACCTATAGCCATGATAATACCTTGCATGTTCGGGGTCAGCATGACCTGCCACAAGGGATTTAAGGTAAAAGTTTTGAATGATTAATATTTTAATAACCAGATTCAATATGCTTTTAGTCTCATGCAAGATAAAAATCCCCAACTAATGCATGCATACATTGAAACGGCACATGTCAATACAGATCTGTGCATATTCTGCAAATCAGTCATGGCATGTGTATAGATGTATTTTTACTGTAACAACATGAGTAAAGGAAGTTTACGAAAGAAAACAAAAACCAACAAACAACAACTAAGAACTGTGTCAAACACAATTTAAAGGTTGCATGGTCAGAACTTCCCAGGAAAGGAACATGCATCGTTCAGCATTAGTATCCATCAGAAACTGCATACTGAGTAAGTGCTACCCATGGCCACCAAAGGATTAAAAAAAAAAGTTTCGAAACAGAAAAATCGCCCAATCACACTTCATATATACTGTACTAAAAACATAGTACACTACACTGCCTGTATTTCCTATGTATTTCAACATCAAAACAAGGGACCCATTTCTCCAAATGCAATTGGTCCCTGAAGCACTTGCAGACAAATTCCTAAAAATCAAACCCAAAACATTTAACAAACACAAAGCCAAACGTAAGACACACATCTCACAGCTATTCAAATCAGTTACATACAAACAATCTGATATATCTAGGTTACTCAGAAAGGTCTTTATCCTTTGTGATCTGTGAGCAAAGAAAAACACTCCCTTCCTCCATGCCCAAGGCTTAGTTAGCACAGCAACAACAGCTGGCCTTTCAGAACAGAAGATGAAGAATCCTAAACTCTCCAAAAAGTTTCCAACAGATAACAACATTTAAAAAAGCAAACACACTTCCAAAAGGAACAGGGACATAGGGAAGAAAGTTTTCATCCTCTAGAAAGACAATGGCATAGGGACAACAGTGAAAAACAAAAAACACCACCAAAGGAAACCCATACCAAAAAAGCAGGTCATTAGGTGAGGCTAAATCCTCATAACTTTAAAGGTGGAGACTTCACATCTGAGAGAATCCAAACTCATCATCAATGTGTGATGATGTCAATTAAACAATTTTATTCCCCATCCCCTACTCCCAGTTACAACTGATCACCTTTACAGGGCAGAATAACCTGAAATATCCATTTGCCTGCAGAAGTAAAAGCTCTCCATAGCCCACTGAGAACACATGCTCGGACATCTGGGAATATGGGCTGCACCAATGCTAACCCCAACCAGAACAAGCATGGAGCAAGCAGTGCCAAGGCAGGACAGTTTGATGACCCAGCAGCATTCTTTCTGCTGCCAAAACAGGGCAGTAGAAAATACTGTCTCACAGGGTAACATGAGCCTCATCTGTTCCTCAAGAAGTACCAGGTACATGCATCGCTTTGGGTCTGAATTGGGGAAAAAATGAAGGGTTTTTTGTTTTGTTTTTCTTTTTTTTTTTCCCCTTAAGGTTAGGAAGAGTCAGCTCCACCAGCCACGTCAGTTTCAGGTTATTTTCATGGATAATTTAAGCCCTGCAGTCTGAAAAGGCTAACTTTGGCAAATAAGGGATCAGATTTGAACAGCAGCTTTACTGGACTGACAAGAAAGCACAAACATTAAGACCATCACTCATTATCATGTTACTTTTTCAATAAAGTAGTAGTCCACAGCCTATCACCAGCATTTCAAAGGCTATCTGGCCTAACATAAACATTCAGCTCCCACAGCTAGAAAGACAAATATACCTCCAGTGTAAATGGTACCATGCAAGCGTGCCCAACTAGAGTAGCTAGTGCTTTCCTTTCACACTTCATTACAAATTCAGACATTGTTAAGGTTAAAAATCGCTAAGCATTTAGTTTTGCAGAAATCTGTTAGGTGTCACGATGTGCAAACATGCCAAAACTTCTCATCAGGCAGCACAAGAAAGCACCGAGGAGGAGTGGTGCACACAATTGCAATCGCATGTACCTCATCGTCATAACCCCCCTCCTCTGACTCAATCACAAAAGTCCCTACATCGGGAATCGCCACCTCTACAACTCGCTGGTTAGGAGCTGGTTGAGCTGGGGCATTATCAGAGCTCTGCAGAAAAAAATCATTATCAGTATGTGCGGGGGGGGAATAAAAAAAAAGAAAAGAAAAACAAAGTAAAATTACAGAGACACGCAAAGTGACAGGCTGATGGAGCACAACGATGTGGACTGCTGACGATCTGAAAAAAATTATAAATATCACTTATATTCTCTAATTACTTGCAGTTTCTTACTTTTTTAAGCAGTACATTTTAAAGTTAAGACATCATTATTAAAAAGATTTCGTTTGTCCTTTACTCACTAATTACAGTTTCACAGTTCAGTGTGCCAGTACTGCAACTCTAACATCCATTACAAATTTTAGGCAGTTGTTAAAGGAGGAGTCTGTGAACCACTACTTCTTTTCATACATTCCACAAGATAATACTAAATGTAAATAAAGTATCTGGTTCATTCGTATTAAGGGATGGCAACAAGCCAAAGAGTAACATTTCTGGATATTCTGGGAAAAAAAATTACAAGGAAGCCCCTAGCAATTAAGATATTTGAAATAATATTTAAAGGTGCATTACATTCAACAGGTTTATTTCTATTTTAGAGAAGTAACTAGAGAGAATCAGGGGAACACAAAGTTAGTCACTGCAATTCTTGCTATGTTAAAGTTGTACCACAGTCTATCATTGTATAACAGCCAGTTTACAACGTTTGCAGGACTTAAACCTTGACTCTACTCTAAGCAATCAGAGTGTGCCACACTACTTGTTCTGCAACCATTACAACAGTCTCATTTTTAACAAAGATACCAGAAACACACGTAGTATCTACTTACATCCAGCACTGTATAAATACAAAGAGACTGTGCAGAGGGTAGAAAAATGCAGAAAATGGACACAAATGTTCATGTGGTGACTAACCTACAGTCCTGCTTGTTACATGTTATGATGTTGGCTTTCCTTCTTTTAAAACGGACAAAGAAAAAGTGGAGGGAAGAAACAGATACCTGCATGCCAGTATGTATATGGAAGCAAAATAATTAAGAAGCTTGCTGATACACTGAGAAGGAAGCACAATTCTGCCTGAGTTAAATTTGAGTATATAGACAGCAGCTTTTAAACACCAGCAGAGTACTTTCAGACTAGCTAGAGATTGGCTTTAGACTCTTTAACAGCTGAAAGTTAGTATGGTTTGAATTTTGTTGGTTTTATTTTTGAGGAGCCATCCACCTTGTTGCAGAACAGTGCAGTGAAAATGCTGGAATAAGGCAACCTGCCTCATTAAGCCTATCATGGTGTTTCCCATGTGGTTCCTCCACCACAGTCCTGCGAAGTCCTAAGGCTGATCGCTGTGCAGACTGTCCTTAGTCTAAACCAAAACAGCTGATTCATGGAATGAAGCCTGTAAGATTCTTCCACATCCCACCGGGATGAATGTCCACAGACCCCAGAAAACACAATGTCATGCAAGACATTTTCTCATGGGTTTGATATCTTCATAGCTACCCCTTCAGTTGGGGTAACTCATATTCAACAGGCTTCCCCTAAGCTGTTCTGTGTCCTGAGAACTCAAATAAGTCAGATATGCAGTAGCCTAAAGCAGTCACTACTGGAGCACCTTTTCACCCAGGGTTAGGTTAGTTTCCCTGTTGCCTTTTCTTTCAGTTTAGCAGAGAAAAGATGCTTCTCTGCTTCCCTGAGGCCACAGGAGAGAGGAATGAAAAACACATCAGGTGTAAGAGTCAACAAATCCTCACATCATTTTCAAAAGCTTTGAGAGGACTTTCCTGTTGGCCCCAAGGATATCTGGGACTGGACTGCTTTTGTTTAATTGGAATTCCTATCTGAAATTAGGAAGCTGGCTTCAAATTTTGCATAGATCTAAACTGTTACTACCTCTAGTGGTTACTAGGGGTGCCTATGGAAGCTATACTCTACATTCCGTATATATTATCCTTAGAGATACAGTTCCAAGACAGATACATGTATTGCTTTAAAGGCACTTGCTTTTCTGGCAAATACATTGGTCATTTATCTATATTCTTACAGAGAAGAAAAAAAACTACTCGCTGAAAGAAAAAAATCCTGTTAAATACTGGTTTCATTAACTCATGAAGTAGTTAACTTCCAGTTCCTCTCTGTATTTGTTGTATGAATTGAAAAATAGAATCACCCAACACTAATTCTTATAAGCATTTCCAGCTACATCTGATGTATCACAAAAAATGATTTTCATCAGGTGGTGAATTTTCATTAAAGCTACAGAATACTGCTGAAAAACCCTTTATTTTTGAAAGCTACTTTAACTTCTAGAGGTCTTTCAAGGGAACTCAATTATAATCTTCTATTTCTCAAATAAAAACCTGATGTTCAAAGCAGTATTTTTCAAGACTTGTACATGGAATGTCAATGTTTACTCCTCAAAATCAAATGGAACTATCTAACATTTTGAAAAGATGGTGGGCACAAACACTTGAATGTCATTTCAACAATATGCTGTACTGCCAAGTACTTTAATCCCACAGAGAACATCTATCTTGGTATTTTTCTTCTACACCAACTACTGTAGCACACATGTTGGACGTGGATGGACTTTAGCGTTGGGCAGTCCCTGAAGAAACAGCAATTTTCAGTTCAAAGTTTCCACACACACCACCTTTTATCAGTTATAACATTTCCACTTGCAAAATAAAAGCAAAGGAAGTATTTCAAGCTTCAAAATATCCTCACCGTATCCATTATAGCTTCTGGACCTCTATCTTCTTGTTCAGCTAAAGCTTTATTAATTGCTTGCACAGAATCTTCTTTTAAGTGCTTTGAAAGATCAGTTCTTGATGGCTGCTCTAAATATTCTGGTTCTCCTGCTTGAACTTTGTGACAGAAATAAAATAACAATTTTGTATGTTAACATAAGCATGAATTTTGAATTTATTAGTTTTATTTGGATCACTGTATCATAAATAAGGTAACCCTCACAGAATATGCAGGCTAGGTCACACCATTCACAAATACAACCCTACACCAGTCTGTGTCTCGGGTCATTTTGAACACTTTCATATAAATGGACTCATGATTTTATATTAGGAATGATAGACCTGTCCTGTCTATAGGCCTGCTAAGGCTCTTGAGTGAGGGGTGTTCAGTAATCACACAGCAGATGCCTGAGAACAAAGCTGAGACGCTATTTGGGCTTTCTGTGGGATATGGACCTAATATACGGAATGACCTAGAGCCACTTGAGTGCCAGATGTGTTTTTACTACACAAAATAATCGACACGTTATATTCCTCTGACTTAAGGGAAATCTCAAAGTCTCCCCGACTTGAGGGCAGTAATATTGATTAGCATAAATAGCATCTTGTATTTCTTACATGATGAAAGCCAATTTTGGCAGACAAATAAAACATCCATTTAGTACTTTACTAACAAAAGAACTAAAACCAGACTCCTAGTGTTTGTGAAATCAAAACATACAGAAGATGAAGTCACTCTCCATAGACTTTTTTGCAAAAAAGAGAAAGATCACTGCACTTTTTACATTCAGTTTGCAGTTTAGATAGCGATGAGAAATGTATGCTCAGTCTTAATGACTCAAATACAACAATGAGAACATCTGGACAGCAGTCTCACTACACAAATCCATCATGCAGTCTTTCACATAATGTACACGCAGCCTTCTACAATGAAGCAAAAGGTGGACATCACCTAAAACCTGACAGGTTTTTCTGGGTCAAAGCAGGCGTACGTTTTATAGTCAGACTGCCAGTGGTTTTGATCAGCCAGGTTCCCAACAGCATTGGCCTCATAGTCACTGTTCAGAGCCTCTTCCACAGTTTTAACACCCTCATTTTTACACAGTAATTTCTTAAGTGGGCCCTACTATTGCTAACTCTATTTAATACATCACACCAATCTTCTCTTTAGATCAGAATTCTGTCCTAATTTAAAATGAGAAGGTAGGTCTTCTACTCAATCACTCTGAAAAGAGCAATATACATCATTCACAGACTAACAAATTCTCAAAACAGATTAATGAGACCTATTAACTACTATCTTAAAAGGCCAAAGTTTCTAAAGGGGAAAAAAATAATTAGTAAAAGTTAAGCACAACAGAGAAGGAAAAGGCAGAAGAACCAACTTTTTTTTTTTCTTTAAATAAAAAATAACATGAAAAAAATCCCAAACACACTAAACTTCAAATGCAATTACCTTGGCCAAGCAAACAGTTATAATTCCAGAAGACACAAACCCCAGTGATTTTCAGTTCTACTCCTCTAACAAACACGTAGAAGCAGCTCACCTGGAGCAGGTGAGGGTGCTGGTGCCCTGGGTATCTGAGATAACAACTTCTCCTGCTGTGCTTTCTGAGCGAGTTCTGCATCCCATTCTTCGAGTTCTTTTTCAAAACGTTTATTGTCCTCCTTGACATAATCCCTTAGATCAGAAGGGAGCGTGTCCATTCCAACAAGGATCTGCCCCGTTTCTTTGTTGAACTCTTCTGCGGTAACATGAAATACAAATTTCAGGAAAAGAAAAAAACAGGAGAAAAGAAAGTATGTTTAACAAATTTCCTCAAGTGAACTACTGGAAACATACAGTACAGCACCAAAACTCCAAAACTATATTACTTTTAACTGTTTTTATTATCTGTCAGGTACTCCTCTGCTACTGAGGCACATTGCTACTGTTTTTGCGATCTTTAGATTATACATTTTTGGGTATCATCAGATCACTGCTGATGATCTGAACTGTGTCCAGTTCTAATCCCCTCAGTTCTAGAAGGACAGGGAATTGCTTGAAAGAGTCCAGCAGTGAGCCACAAAGATGACGGAGGGAGTGGAGCATCTCCCTGATGAGGAGCAGCTGAGGGAGCTGGGTCTGTTTAGCTTGGAGAAGAGGAGACTGAGGGGTGACCTCATTAATGTTTATAAATTTGTAAAGGGCAAGTGTTGGGAGGAAGGAGCCAGGCTCTTCTCAGTGACAGCCAATGACAGGACAAGGGGCAATGAGAGCAAGCTGGAACATGGGAGGTTCAATCTGAACATGAGGAAAAACTTTTTACTGTGAGGGTGACAGAGCACTGGACCAGGCTGCCCAGAGAGATTGTGGAGTCTCCTTCTCTGGAGACATTCAAAACCCGCCTGGACGTGTTCCTGTGTGATCTGGTCTAGGTGATCCTGCTCTGGCAGGGGTTGGACTGGATGATCTTTTGAGGTCCTTTCCAACTCCTAATATTCTGTGATTCTGTGATTGCCATTTTAAAAGATGAGCCTTTTGGGCCATGAGCACTCTACAACTGTGTACATTGAGAAAAAAGTCACCAAAAAAATCATAGTTTGCTTGCATTACTGTCAACTTTGAGATGGATATAACCTCCCAGCAGAAAAAGGAAGGAGCATGAGTCTATGTGGATTTGGAAAGTTGGCTGACAAGAACACCAGTTACATGACATAACCTTCCATTTTTGCTTTGAGAATGGTCTCTGCAAGAGCATCACAGATCCTGGGGGATCAATCAGCTGTAATTGTGCCCCAGCAAGCAGGCCTCCCATTTAATTAGTGTGGCACAGCTACCCTACAGAGTCCATAAATCCAGTACTAATCTAGCAATGTAGAAATGTCAAGGTTAATATCGGTTCTCATTTCAAAACTGAACAAATACACATTCCAGCTTTCTGCCCTATGAAACAGCAGGTACATGAAAGTTTTCCACGACTTGTTATTGAATCTCCAGCTATTTTCACAGTCAGCTCCCTAGCCGTTGTTATCAGGCCCCACAAAACTCATGCTAAGGGATCGTTGCCCTCTCTCCAAACACTTCTTTACAAGCTTTATAGTTACATACTACTACATGTCCTGAAAAAAAAATTCTCAATCTATGTATTACTTTAGTTTCATGCGTGGTTGGTAGGGCTAACTTATTCACATTTCAGTACACTGTATAATGCTTCAAGTTTCCACATTCCAGTAAAGTTCATCAGAACTCAGAAGCTTAGGGGGAAAAAAAGCTACACAAGGATTTTAATGTCAAGAGGGTCATTTCTGTATTTCCATATTTCTGTTCTAATCTTCAGTGAGGTAACATCTCCAAAACTCTGAACATGATCACCTGGCTAAAATGTTTGTCAAGTAGCAAGTTTAGTTTATTTTGCTCTCTTAATAATGCTGAAACACTGGCATTCTTTATTAATCTCGAAGTTGAAGAGTGGTTGTCCCACACACAGAAAGATGCTAACAGTTACGAGCATAAAGACAGTTTCCAATAATTATTAAAACCATTTCAAAAATCTGGAAATACATCTGAAAGGAGCTCATTTTATCAATATAGTCAGCTGTTCTACATTATCCAGAAATCATATCCTTAACATTACCTTGTATCAAGAATTGTTCCTTATCATTGATATACATTAAACAATATGCACTGGCATTCCTGTAACCACCAAAAGAGTCCCGTTCCAACTCTTCCCAGGTTGACTTTGTCACAGAAATATCATTGTATTTCATCCATCTGTTCTGGTGGTGGTCATAAATATATGCCCAGTAGTGTCCTGCATTAGCCTGACCTTCATGAACTAGCACAGCATGCAACCTGTAAGGAACCTTAAAAATAAAACAAAACAAAACGTCAAACTTTCCTTACCAGCAATAATAGCTACATTTAAAAAAGTAATAAAAAATAAGTTAAACAGGATCAAAACAAGACACAGCAGAAAGTCACAAAAAAAGTAAAACTAGCAAACCCAAAAAGGTAAAAGGACTTTGAATTATTTTACTTACCACTACTAGTTACAAGATATCTTAAAAACATTAGTGAATCTATAGCAAAAATGTGTACCCTGCTGTCTTTCCTGCCAGAAATCTTATTTTCTTAATTCTTTAATATTCCTACCTTCCTTGTATCTACAAAAAACCCTCAAATATATTAGCCTTGAGTATCTGTGATTCAGTCCAGTTCTGACCCGATAAACTTGTCCTGAAGGCTGGAAAGGTATTTGCAAATTCAAGGTAATAAACTCTGTGCTTTTTATGTGCCAGTAAGAGACTTTAAAGGATTCCCTGGGAGTTGCATACTTCCATTACCCAAAAGTAAAATTCTTACAGTGGAATAGGAACACAACTGTTTCCCAGTATTTTAAAAGTAACCGTAAAAGTAAGAGAAGGATGGGACACACGAAGAAGACGTCTCCTCATTCTGAGGCAGAGAAGGAAGACATTAGTTTCCAAGATCAATGTAAAAAGTATCCCATGTTACATGTGTTCACCAACAAGTGAGAAGAATGGAAACCTAGTTTCTACATAAGTAGTGGGAAA